GACCGCTGCATTTGGTTTTTAGCTCACGACAGGCTTTGCATGCTTGACTAACTCGGGATCTGTTACTCCAGCTTGTCGGAGTATTTGTGCGAGATATTGGAACTTTAGGATTTGGTTTGTGGTGATTTGACGTGAGAACGATTCCCCTTGGTGGCACCTCGGGATAGCTTGGGAGGCCATCGAAGACGAAATTGTTGGGACAATCAAGCAATTGAGAATTTTCAACAAAATCGTTATCGCGTAGAATGAGCATGCTCGGTGCTGACGTGCTGTCAAGGAACGGCACCAGGTGGGAGTTAGGGTACCCAGTCATTGTTTTGCCTGCCGCCTGACGGCCTGAGTGAACCGATTAGGACTTTAAGGATGCCTAACAGGCTGCTCTGGATTACATTTGAATGCGCACGAGTATATGCAGATCCTTAGCTAACATTCTCGGCTTCGAGCCTCTCCCTGCATGCAACCATTTTCACTACACCAATTTGCCGAAAAATGCGACAATGCAAGTTTCAACAAGCATGCATCACCTATCCCTTTAACAATCCAAAGCGACAGATCACCCGTTCCAGCTAGTGAAATCAGAGCCTTACGTTTCGACGCTCAGACCATTAAACTGGGAAACAAAGGACCATTGATCGGTAATACAAAATCGACGGACAAAGGGGCATGCCATGCAGGCACGATCCTGGTATGGTTTTATCACAATTCACTGCGTCGATGTTCTGTTCACTAAAGTGTATTGTTGCGCTCTCATCATTGATACCCCTTCACTAGCTTGTAGTTGAGTTTGGAGGTGCTGTAACAGCCTCATCTAGTAGTAGCTCTACAAAATATGACGGCCTTGAAACACAATAGTCCATATGAGCTCACCGATCATATAGAGTCAACGTTTCAAAGTCTTTATTAGATTCCCGTGAATCCCAAGTAGCGGGGATCAAGCAAGCCAAGAACACGAGACTGTCACCTTCAACTGGAACCCAAAGACATAGACAGTATCGACCGAATTTATCCAATGGTCATGGGCGTGATGGGAGGTCCGGCCCTATGTAGTATCTCATGGGCAAAAAGCCGGAAACACGGAGAGCTGTATACCATTTAGACAATTTGGCCTTTACTCATCCATAGCTTACAATAGCCCTCAGTCCCCTTGTGATTATAGCGGGAGATTACAATGCAAAATTTCAAAATGACAGGTGCAAATAATAAAACGGTAATCAAAAGACGGAAACCTAAATATTCATACCGACAAATGCTTAACTAAGGATCTATGCCAAGCAAGGGGTTCCCCACAAGGCGGTTAAGTTCCGCCCTTCGAAGTGGTTCCAACCAGGTGGATAAAATAGCCGTCAAATGGGTCATGTGGCTTATGTCCGCAGTGCCAGCCAGGACACAAACTCTAATATCGATCTTTTGGTCAGCCTCCAATATAATACCATTACCATCAGTCCTATTGACACGTGCTTCAAAGGGGCAAAGGGGCAGCGATTAGATATACAGTCACAGTTCAAACGTCTTAACAGCCCCTGGCTCTACAGCCCTTTGATTATATAACATTCTGCCGTTCTTAATTCGATAAGCTGTATGGCATCCCATTTTCTCAATGATTGCAGGTACACCACGCGGCATCTAGCTGATAAATGGCCTGCCACGCGAGTGGCAACTCAGGGGTCCCGATAAAATGTACCCCACACCGATACCCCCTTCAATCAGTTCCTTTCGGCGGATAAACCAGCCGGCGAATAACAATCATGTGGCTTGTGTACGCAGTGCCAGGGCGCAACTTCAATGCAGATTTCCGGTAATTTTGTCATGTAATCGTATTATCATCAGATTGAGTACCTAGTGCATGATTCAGAGCTCCATTGCGGGCGCTCCAATGAGCTTTCAGCGGTTATCAATCTATATTCGTTGCATTTTTCATGATTTCGTTTGGGAAACCAGTGGTATCATATTCTAACATCTGAATTACCAGGGTTACTATGTGTTATCAGAATGAATTAGGTCTCCAACAATAACAAACCTTTCTTAAGGAATGCCCCGGAACTCAGTTGACCGAATTCAGACAGTTAATCGTTAGGAGGAGTTTTGAGGGCAACTGCTCATTCAATTACAAGCGCCTTTTTACCATGCACCTGCGCAATGATCGAACTTAATCCGTTATACGACCGCATCCGGTTTGTCCGCATCTTGATATGCATTTTGATGTAGCCGTAAGCCATTCCCGTCGAGCCTGCATCAGTAGCCTGTTGAAACGGATTAATAGTCAACAACGTAAAAGAGCGAGAGGAAAGCCCTCGACTGGAAGCTTCTAGCCCTGTGCTAAGAAAGTAACGAGAGTTTACTGAGGAATGAAGCTTCGATACGGCATTACTTCGCAACAGGTAAGTTGCCCATTGTTTAGTTTCACTTCACAGCTTCATTATGATGGGATATTCATTATCCTGGAGACCTAGTTGGAGACGATACCTCCTCGTAAGAAAATTGCGCAAATAGACGACTAGAGGAGAATATAAACCATTTTAATCAAAATTTACCGCTAATAAACCGCAAGGATCATCCTCGATGGAGATTGTCCTACGGGGCTTGTGATATAACAGAATAAATAATGGAGACACTCCCAACTAGGCTTTGCAAAGACAAGGAATGGAATGGGAGCTTTCACCAAATTCATGTCTCCGCCCCTACTATTGGTGGAACGTTCGGTCTGAGCATTACAGACACAGTTATCTGACCATCTCCAAAAATTCAATTATGCATGTCACAACTGGCCATGGTTCCAAAGGTGCAGAAACCGCCAGCACTAGATTACAAAAGGGTCTTTAACACCCCAGGGTTAAAGAGTTCTTCTCACCATCGTCTCACATCTTGAGATCACTCCTCCAGAAGTACTTGTCGAGCTGGTACAGTCTTGGGATCCTTGATGACAGATCAAAATGGAGAATTTCATCATCTCTGTAATCTGCTACGTCCTTGTCACGCGTCTGAAAGCAGCAGCCAGGCAAGGGCGAAAAATATTACGGAGATGATGGAAGCCTTCATTTTGACCTGTGCTCAAACCTTGAACCCACGCCATTCTTCAAAACTCTCCTCTTACACGTTGTCTCAAATGACCTCCGATGACTATCTGCTGTCTGTTTCTAGAGGAAGCGTGGTTAACAAGCTGAGAAACCTTAAAGTTTTCCACTTGTGCATCAACTTTGTTGACCAGAGGCCTGGAAATTTTAGGTAAGTCAATCAATTAATCAATCAATCAATCAAAGTTCTATTAAGCATTTGGGGCCTAACTAGTATTGTAATGGCAATGCAGGCGCTTTGTTCCAGTTGAAGCAAGAACTTGTCCGTACGCCTGAATCCCATAGTACAAAACACAACTGATTCTCAAGGAGTGGGAGAACCAGCTCGAAAACAGCAAGTCCAATCAACAACCCATATAAACCACAGTATAAATGTGATAAAATGCGGTTCAAAGGATGTGTGGAATGCACCATCCATCTCTTCATGTCCTCTCTTCACTTTATCACCTCCACCTCTGCCTGCACGAAAATGTCCTCCGTATTCAAGCGGCGAGATCAGGCATCGTTTCTTCTCTCGCTTCACCCTCAATTAGTGTTTATATTGTCGGTTACCAATCAATCAGGTATCATGTATTCGTATTTGCTGGACGAAGGTCTCTTTTCCTCGAGCGTTGCGTCGTTTCGTGGTGAGTACCCAACGTGTTCGGGACCCTGCTCTATTGCCGGATGGCCTTCTAATTCATCAACCTATTCCTCAATGTGTTGAAACTGAGCAAGGAGGCCAGCCTGGTGCATGAATCTGGCAACGTAGCGGGTCGCTAGCTGATGGAACACAATGGTATCGTAGTCTACAGCGTCCTTTAGACCAATTGCTTCATATAACTGGGCAAATAGCTCTCTCCCCGACTGCTCGTATATCTCGCATTACAGCAGGGCATGCTTCGGAGTCTGAGATGACCCACAGATGCATTTGTCGGATCTTAAAAATGAAATGCTTCAATGCAATGCGTATCGAGCGCAACAGAAGCATGACCGCTATATACAGCTTCGACAGGCATTCGTAAAACCTTGAAGTTGTTTTATTCGGCGCTTTGATCAGCCCTTCCGTAGGCCAGAAGGTCCTATCTCTCCTATTGTCTTTCCCATGGTCCTTTGATCCGCGCTCGTACAGCTCGCTGGGCAGCCGCGGCGAGTCGGATCAATGGATCAGCCGCTCCGTTGGCTGTGTTACCATCATCTGCCTCGTTCCCAGGCACAACATGAGAATGGATCTAGCGGAGAGTGATATTCGTTGAATAGCGAGACCGAAGGGTCCCTATATGGCTATAAATGTTGACGAGCACGTACTGACCCGATGGTTTCCGAGGTTTTTGGACTGCTTGGATAGCAGCTTGGCTGTCACAGAGAATGACCTTTTCTCGAGCCGTTTTTTCTTGCAGTTACCACTGCCGTCGGGGTCAGTTCTTCCACATTGTTTTTGGTGACTCTAGCCAATGCCATTGCGATGTCACTGGGCTCGGCAGCGTACACAGTGGACTACTAACCATCCTATCAACCACCAGCTTCGACCTTGGGAACGTGTTTGAGATCGATGCTAGAGGTGTTGAGGTTTTGGGTCAAATTGGCGCATGTTATGTATGTGCACGTCTATGGAGTATCTCTTCTCGAGAATATCAAGGGGAAACAGACTCGTCGGACTGGGTGATGCTGGTAGAGAACTCTCTCCAGCCCATGATGCTCAGAGATCTCATAGACGCTCAGATGCCGAGACCAGAGGAGGAAGATCCACTCTATCGGAGATGGAATTTCTGGTCATCATCTGTAGCCGCATGGATGTATCTCCAGGTTGACAAGGATGTCAGAACCAGACTGAGTAGCTTGGCCAACTGACCAAAATACGCCGACCACCTATTCGACGAGCTAGTTAGCTATGCTCAAGGTGGAGACCGCTTAGACAACGTCCTAATTGATGCTTTCAAGCTGTACGACATGAAGAGAGATCACTATGGGTCAGCCGAAGAGTACATCAGTGACTACCAGAGACAAATGAACATACTGCGACGATCCAAAATTGCGCCACCACCATTTATCTCAACCGGAATCATGATCCGACAGCTCCAAGACGAACTTCCGGACATAGTCTTCATGCATGAAGCGTTGCGAAAAGTGAAAGAACCCCACGAAATTACTCACGAGGACCGACAAGCAATGTAAAGAAATGACGATCAAAGCTCGTCTCGGACGTTCTGGCTATTCTGATTAGACGGTTCGGCGGCGGCAGTGGTGTTATTGTCTTGGCGGTCGGTCCTGAATTGGTTCCGACGGGCCGAGTGGGGGGTCTTGTTGGCTTCCGATTTTCAAAACAGTGTTTCGCTAACTCAGAGCAAAAGGATTTTTGAAATCCACGATCCATCGTGTTGTCACACCTCCTAGGGATCAGATCAACATTCCTCGTCTTGGGTTGCTCTATTTCTGTCGACCCGGGGATAATACGATAATGAAGACAGTACCCTCGCCCGTGCTGGACCGTCTTGGCCTACTTGTCGAAGACGACAAAGACCCGAACAAACATGCTGCCACAGGAACGGAATATGTACGCGCTCGGGTTCGGGATGTGCACTATAAGAAGGTGATCGACAAGAGGGAGAACACTTCGTTTGAGTTCAAGGGTTTGAAGGTTGCAAATCATTATGAATAAGTAGCAGAGTTATAAAGTATGGAAAGCATAGCTCTAATTGACTCTCGATTGAATATGATACATACAAAAGTACATAGTCCAAAGAAGATGCCCATTCGCGGGTCTTGCTTATACTATATAATCAACCAGTTTCACACAAACAGTAGATCGACACCTTGTGAAACATATCAATTAATGAATTATTCTGGGACTAGAGTGATTAATAGGACTTGACAAACTTCATAGAATAAAAAGAAGTCATGGGACGGGGGGAGAGAGAGACTCGGGAAGCGAGCTCTCTGACTAGCTAATTTCTCAGTTCTATCTTTGTCACGTGACCGCGGATCTCGACAGATCTTGATGCGGAGGTGTGTACATGTCTCGTGAGAAGAGGACAGGGGAGGTGGAGGTGCATCCACGCATTCATTTTGCATTCACTGCTTGTTAGCATTGAATTTCTCATTTGTACTGCGGGTTTTATGGGATTGGATTACATGTAAGGGCTGGTGCTTCCAGCCTTTGAGAACCAGCCTCACTTTTTGTACTGGAGCATGATCAGGCGTACGGACACGAGTTTTTGCTTCAACTGGAAAGACGCGCCTGCATAGCCATTACGATACTAGTTAGGCTCCAGCAGGTTAAATAGAACTTTGATTAATTGATTGATTGATAAGGAAGTCTCAGCGAGCCCCTTTCCGGAATTGGACTGACTTCAGAGTCGATGCGAAACAAAGATCCATGCTTCTTGGTCCGGCGATAGTCAAACATTATGTTGAAAGCAAGTGTAGAGGTATATTTGATAAGTCAAGGGAGACGGACAAAGGTACTGTGCTGACAAGGATATACCAAAGTCGTGTAACTAGCATTACCTTGTTTTTCTCCCATCCCTCTCTTATGTACTTGGTTATCCAGCCTGGACGGCCTTATCCTGGACCATACTGGTGCTCTCCTTACTTTCCATTCTCCATCTCTCGGCTTCTCTATAGTGTATGAGCACGGAAAATCACCGAGTATGGGGCTGGGTGAAGCTTATTTTGTCCATTATACGTCAGCTTGCTCGGCTCAGTCCAATGATTGTATTTTCGCCTCGTCCCCAGACCGTATCCCGGATCGCCACTGAGGCCCGTCGTGGCCAACCGTGCGTTGAGGAGAGTAGAATATGCGGGCGAAGGCGGAGAAACCTAGACGGTCTAACAGCCGACCGTTTAAAGGGGAAAGGATTAGATGCGAGACAGGGGTCCGTGTGAGGGGAAATAATCAACGTGAAATCAAGGAAATGCCGAGAATCGCCAGATTATCCACTTCACTCTCCATTGTCTCAGCCATGCCACCGTAAATCGGCGGCTGAGGTTCAGCGTCTACCACGAAAACAGAAGTCAAATCCTGCCACAAAAGTCAATTCCAACTAGAATGTACACGCCCCCTAATGAATAGGCTACCGAAGCTGCTTCGGTTAAACTATTGGTGTAATATCAACATGGCTCGTGCATGGGGCCCGCCCCGCCCCAAAAATGCTTCGAAAAGCTTGTCCGAGCTGACAAACAAAGTTCAGGCAAACATGCGGGGAGGCGCCATGTGGAGAGAAATCCGGCATCCCACGTACAACCCACACGGTAGATCAACAGAATTAAGTATCTTCAAAGTTTGTCGAAGTGCTCCAGAATGCAGAGTATTGCATGTTCTTATCATCTTTGAGTTTGAAATTTCCGGGGTTAACCTAATCAAACACACTGCAACATGTTTCGATCAGGGTTTTGTGGCGAGAACATGGTGCTTCCTCATTAGGCGCCACATGAAACGCGGGATATATTAGCGCCGTTCATAATGCATGTTTGTAAACCTTCTTATTGGGGGAAAGGCCCGAGGAGATAAAATACTAATGAAATGGAGAGGGCCATCCTACAAATAATATATGCATTGTCAAGGTCAAATGCCCCTATTGCCTAGGAGGAGATTAAATCGTGCCAACGAAATACGGAGTACCAGTGCAACGTTCCACTGCCGATTCCCTGAAGACAAGTCTCCATTATCATTATCTTGACGCACGCCATGGAGAATAGGTGGTGCCGAAAACTCAAGAGATTTGGCATCATAGAACTTTGTGAGAAGGAAGGAATGAGTGAGAACCATCCCCTGAGCATTTGCTTAAATGTACCTCTTCTCGACCGTGGTTGCGCGCTACGGAGCGTGGAAGAAGAGTACTTTGATTCTTTGGTACGGGATTCGAATACACGCGTGACCCTGGCCAACCAGACGTCTCGTCGATGCGTCCAAGGGGTCTGGCCGCATCCGGAAGTATTTTGCCATACACTAGGTAAAAAGTAGTCTGAAAGTTACCCTAATGTTGGATTCTAACTGCCGGTCCACGACCACATGACAGTACGGTGGGCGCTGGTTCGTGTTCGGGTCAAAAGCGCCCCCTTGACTCGCCAAAACCCCTTCGAACAGGCCGGATTGCGTTAATCGGAGGAATAGCTTTGAAGCCGCGACGTTCCGCATAACCGTACCTTTGCCACTCGGAGGTTGAAAAAAGCCTTCCTATTGGGGTGCCACAGATCCCCGATCATATCCCCGTTCCTGTGACAAGGTAGGTACCAGCAGTGTTTGCTTACTATAAGAACTTCCCCACAAAGCTCCTTGACAGTGAGCCTCATTTTCTGTTTTCCTCGATTTCCCTAAAATTGCACACAAAAGTTTTACCATGGCGGGCAGCTCAAAGAAACCAGTCAATATCTTCAGGTTGAAGCATCTACCTGAGCCACGAGAGGTCTTCAATTGGAGACTGTGGTTTGCCGTGACATCCTTCGGCCTCATGGGTGCAGCTCGTGGCGTTGATGAGGGCTTGATCTCGGGCGCCTTCAATTCTAAGGATTTCCAGAAGACCATCTATTACAGCTCATACAGCCTGGTGGAACAGGCAAATATCAAAGCCAATGTGTCTGCTATGGTCCAGATTGGCTCTGTTGGTGGTGCGCTCTTGTATGACTCCATGCCATTTCATGACCATGACGATTGCTCTGTCCAAAAGACTAACCATGTATCACCTGTTTCTATTATAGCGCATTCTTAGTTTGTGATCGCATTGGCCGTCTCTGGGCGACCCGTCAACTCTGCGTTCTGTGGGTTGTGGGTATTGCCATGTTTATGGGAGCAAATGGAAACTTAGGTGTCGTCTACGCCGGCCGATTTATTGCTGGTCTGGGTGTGGGACAGACTGTCGTTGTTGCACCTGTTTACCTCGCTGAAATTGTAAGTTGATGGACTCTCAACGTAGTGTCACCCTTGCCATGCTAACTATTTCCTACTCTAGGCCCCCGCATCTATTCGAGGTCTTTGTACTTGCGTCTTCACCGGTTTTGTGTACCTGGGAATCGTGCTTGCCTATTTTGCCAATTACGGCTGCCAGGTCAATCTGGGCGATTCGACTCACAAACGATGGGTAAGGGCTCGGTTGTGCCTGGTTAAAACATTCATATTCAATTGAGTAACGAGACTAACCTAATTTTTAGGAGGTACCTACTAGTCTTCATATCATGTTCGCGGGCATCATCTTTATCATGTCATTCTTCCAGTATGAATCGCCTCGCTATCTTATCAAAGATGGTAAGGATGAGGTGGCATGCAAGACTCTTGCCCGTCTGCGCGGTCTTCCGCTTGATCACGAATATGTGGTCTCTGAAATCTCGGCTATTCAAATTGCACTGCAGACAGAAAAGGAGGCAACAATGGGAGCTGGCTGGCTTGGTATTCTCAAGGAGATATTCCTGGACACAAGTAACTTGTATCGACTCTATATCGCTTGCATGGGTCAGATTCTGTCTCAATGGTCCGGGGCTGGATCCATTACCCTCTACGCCCCTGATCTGTTTGAACTGCTTGGCGTTACTGGCTCCAATGAGTCGCTGCTAGTTACGGCCGTCTTTGGTATTGTCAAGCTGGCAGCAGCGATCATCTGTGCTCTATTCCTTGTCGATGTCATCGGTCGTAAGCGCGCACTACTCATCGGCATCACGCTGCAAGCCATCTCGATGATCTATATTGCTGCCTTCCTCACTGCTGTTCCCGAAATGGGCATAGTTAAAAAGTTTGTTCTGCCAGAGTCAAAGAAAGGCGCCAGTCGCGGTGCTATTGCCATGATTTTCATCTCTGGTTTTGGCTGGGCGCTCGGTTGGAACTCGATGCAATACTTGCTCACGGCCGAGCTATTTCCGCTGCGCATCCGTGCCTTGTCAACTTCATTGTCTATGACATTGCACTTTGCCAATCAGTACGGTAGTTCACGGGCACTCCCAAACATGCTGCTGTCAGCTGCCAATGGCGGCCTCACGCCAAAAGGCACTTTCTGGTTCTTCGCGGCAGTCACTGTCATTGGTGGTCTCTGGGTATGGTTCAGCTTGCCGGAGACAGCTGGACGGACACTAGAGAGCATGGATCGTCTGTTTCAGCTTCCTTGGTATAAAATCGGACTGCATGGCAATCAGGATGCCAAAGAGCGGGATGAGGTCATTTCGGAGAAGGAGAGGATGGCTGAGGAGACGTACACCACTGTCCAGCACGTCGAAGAGAAGACTGCAGACCGCTCCACCCGAGTCTAACTTTTTTGTTTGTGGGTTGAGTACATTTTAGAGTTCGGAGGACTCCTGCAGTTTAGATGGCGGTCAAGATTGATAGTTGTTTTACTGAGCTGATATCGATAGCAGTCTGGAGTAGCGCCATGTGGTGTTATGTGTTATGGCTGATTTGATTCGTCCAGGAAGTATAAATATTTCGAGACAATACATTGAACATTCGATGATTTAATGTCCAAATACAATACTCCCACTACAATCCAGGAGCCGGGCATGTAAAAGGCTCGGAACTGGTTTAAATTGTGATTACCTTCAGGCGCATGTAAAAGAAGGAAAAGAAGAAGATGATAAAGGAAAGAAATCTCTTTATTAACAAAAGGCTGGAAAGAGACTTAGACGTCATTGAATCCAAGTCGAACAGAACGGAGAACGCACAAGATTAGAAGTGTGGTGTTACAAAAAGGCTGGAACAGTTTACCCCCTAGGTGTTTATGTTGTGAGACTAGTGGGAGTAGTGGACGGGATGGAGCAGAGGATGGTTTGCAAGATTTGCGTGCTTTGCTCGATTGGTACGCCATTAAGAACTTCACCCTCTTTGCCTCACTTCCTGCTTCTCTTTCTCTCAAGCTTCGACACTTTCGTCAGAGGCACCGAATTAATCTTTTTCTTTCGGTTGGATCGTAACAGTGGCTGGCCATGCCAGGTATTAGAAAACCTGCTCGTTGTTCAACCGAACCAATCAATCAATCAATCAATCAAAGTTCTATTAACCTGTTGGAGCCTAACTAGTATCGTAATGGCTATGCAGGCGCTTCTATCCGGTTGAAGCAAGAACTCATGTCCGTACGCCTGATCATGCTCCAGTACAAAAATGAGGCTGGTTCTCGAAGAGTGGAAGCACCAGCCCGTACATGTAAGCCAAACCCATAAAACCCATACAAATCGCAGTACAAATGAGAAACTCAACGCTAATAAGCAATGAATATAAAATGAGCGCGTGGATGCACCTCCACCACCTCTCTAAGTCCTCTCTCCTCACATCCCATGTCAACACCTCCCGATCCCGATGCCAGCCCATTCCTGCTGCAGCTAGATCAGACCCCGTTCTCCGACATCCTCACTTCAGCCTCGATTGCTGATTGTCGTTGTTCAGCGCCCAGTCAGGCAGCGTATATTCGAATAGCTCATCGAGGTTCTCTCCACCCTCGACGGTGTTGGCAAGCATTGGGTAGTGCCCAGCGTCTTCGGGACTCTGCTCCATGACCTCTAGATTCAGGTCTTCAGCTTCATCATCAGTCTCTTCTTGCCCAGCGTGTTGAAACTGGGCAAGAAGACCGGTTTGGTGCATGAATTTGGCAACGTAGCGGGTTGCCAGCGGGTTAGAAACAATGCTGTCATAATTAGACATATCAAATGGCCCAACTGCTCGATGCAACTGGTCAAAAAGACGCTTTCTCAGCTCGCCGTACGTCTGGCATTGTAGCAAGACATGTCTCGGCGTTTGAGAGCCCTCTCCACAGGGGCATTTGTCAGACTCCACTTCGTTGATCTTATACAAGAAGTGTCGCAGCGCAATACGCATTGACCGCATCTGTATCATGATCGAAGACCGTGGTTTAGACAAGCACTCGTATAGACGTAATACCTTCTTGTTCGGCCATTCCACTAAACGTTTCGTAGGCTGAGCCGTCCTCTCGCTCTCCCACTGTTTCTTCCAACGGTCCTGGATCCGCTCTCGGACCATCCGTTTTGCCGCGGCGGCGAGCCGGATGATCGGTTGATCCGCTCCGCCAGTCGCACCTCCCGCACTTTCGAGGGCCGCGCATTTCGCATTGCCGTCGGCAGCTTCATTGCCAGGCACCCCGACGTGAGCGGGGATCCAACGGAGGGTAACAAATGTCGATTGCGATCGAAGGGTCCGTACGTGGGAGTATAGTAGCTTAAGCACGTACTGACCCGACGGTCGCTGTGGGTTCTGGACTGCTTGAATAGCAGCCTGGCTGTCGGAGAGAATAATCACCTCTCGAGCCGTTGTTCGTTTTGATCTAGTATCCTTTGTATTGGCCTTGTTGTCGCTGATGGCCCTAGCCAATGCCATCTCGATGCCGCTGAGCTCGGCAGCGTACACCGTGGACTGGCTCTCCGTGCCGAGATGTCTGCGGTCGGAGATGACGGTATCACCGTCATGGATGTTGACGGCAGCTGCACCAATGTGGCCTTCGAAGCCACTGCCGTCGGTGTATGTCATTGCGAAGGTCTCACTTCCTTCCAGTGTCCTCTTGCGTTGGATGATAGAGTCATGGGTTGCCAATGCAGCCTCCGAGGGTTCAATGAAACACGAGATGCGTCTCTCCCAGGGTGGTAGTACGAATGCAAACTTTTCCTCCCATTTCTCCGCACAGTCCAATTTGATCGGTCCCTTCTTCCAGACCAATGTTTCCAGGGGTGTCCATCCTCCCATCCTCCGTTCCTTCGGTTTCCTAGCCACCTTGGCCGATCGGGGGCATGCCCATTGAGGTCCAGTGAGGATGCGGATTGTGCCTTCCTCAATGGTCTGCTGTAGGCGTAATTTCATTGGTAACAAGAAGAGTTCTATATCGAGGGCAGCAGTAGAGATGCTTTTAAAAGCACCACTGATTAGCACCGCCGCGCGCTTTTGGAGCTTCACAAGCTCATTGACCAGCCGAGCCATCTCCCAGGCTGGTATCTTGCGCGCAGCAGGGCAATACCAGGCAGAGATGCCCCAGAGGGCTTGGGGTACAATGACAGCCTGGTAGAGTTTACGCATGGACATCAACGATGCACCCCACGTAGACCCTGAGATACCCCGGAGGGCTTCCAAGCTGCTGGCGGCCTTAGCTAGTAGCTTCTTGCGATGTATTGAGAAGTTGAGCTGTTTGTCTAGCCAAACACCAAGGTATTTGGCATGTTCTGATGGTTGTATTGACGTTCCACCTGGCACTGTTACTGGCATTTGATCATGACCACAGGGGTCATCGGGGACGGCCCAGACGTCGTATTCGGAGGGAGGACTCGGAGAGGGTTCGATGGCGGCGCGTGGGTTGCTGTAGTGGATTAGTTCGAACTTGTCAGGTGCAAACCTTGCTGCATGACGCTTGGCCCACTGGTCAGCTCTCTCGAGAGCTTTTTCAATGAGCCATACGTTTTCTTCATAGCTATTTGAGATAGCTAGAATGCAGACATCATCCACCCAGCCAAACGCCTCGGTTCGGCCGTATCTGGTGATCAGAGAACAGCTCTTGACTAGGGGCGTATTGAATAGTAAGAAGAGGATAGGTGAGATCGGGGATCCCTGCGGGATGCCGGTATTGGTCGGGAATGCGTCACTAAGGTGCCCCGGGAGTCGAATTCGCGTACTCCGGCCGGTCAGAAAGGCTTGCACCCATGGTACTAGCTCTCTAAGCCCTATTTGACGCATGTTGTGTAGCAAGCGCTGGTGTGAGACGTTGTCGTAAGCACCGGCGACGTCAAGCAAGAGCATGCTTGCTTTCTTGTTAAATCCCCACGCGGTATGAACTCGGTCCAAGATCAGCTGAATAGCATGGTCCACGGAGATGCCTTTCCTACCACCAAGGTGAGTATCAGGCAGTAGCCGATGCTCTTCAACAGCCCAGGCGATTCTAGTAGCAACGATTGCTTCGAGAACCTTGCCTAGCGTGTTAAGCAGGGCCACTGGCCTGTACGCCTTCGGTAGGCGGTAATCTCGTGGCCCAGCCTTTCTCAGCGTCACAGTGATCGAGGTCTGGAAATGCCGGGGGTTGTGGCCAAGGCGTAAGCAAGCGTTGAAGGTAGAGAGGAGGGTAGATATAAAGGCCCGGTGGGATGCTGAGGCCTCGTCCGCTAGTAGCCTCCACACCTTGTTTGGGATGCCATCCGGCCCAGGGGCCTTATTCGGAGGTGTGCGTCTTATTGCGTTGGCCAGTTCTTGCTCAGTGATAGCTGGGAAAGTGATCTGCTTTCGATTCGCTGGGCTCTCGTCGATGTCTGAGAGATCAGCTATTGGCGGTGCTGGAAAGAAGACCTCCCGCAATGCTTGGACCTTCTCATCGATCGATTCTGCAATGCCATTTCCCGTATTTAACGGCGGCATGATACTGCTGCTGCTCTGTCCTTGCCCTCGATTCCTGGCCCATTTGGACATCCGCCAGAGACCCTGGGGTCCCTGGCCAATGGCCTCCTTGACGAATTCCCGGAAGCCGCTTCTCAGTGCTCTTTTGACGATCCGTCCTTTCTGATTTCTTGCTAGTTTATAAACCTCCCAGTCCTCCTCACTATGTGTGGCGATATATCGTCGAAACAGCCGTCGGGTCTCCCTGACTGCTTCTCGGCATTCACCAGTAAAAGAGGGGTTGGCGTACTGGCTGGGTCTAGCCCATGGTGTGGATTCATCGACAGCTCGGTTTATTATCTCTATGAGGTGATCAACCGCGTCGTCGATTTGTCGTGGCGTATTAAGGTGCTGCATCAGCGGCATTCGGAGGTTGCTAGCCACAAACTTGTCGAATTTGTCGGTTTCCATGGCTTTCCAGTTCCGGCGCTTTGGCTGGTCTAGTGGGGTAGTGGTTTCAGTGCTGATTATTGTACGTATCGGTAGGTGATCTGAGTGAGCATGGCATTCGTGGGCAACCTCGCTGGCGATGAAGCGGTCCGATAGATCATGGGAGCCGAAGACTAGGTCGATCGTGGTCTGATGCCCTGCCTCGTCTCTCGTGATAGTGCCTGGTGCCAACCAGAGGTCCAGATCAGCTGAATCAGTCAGCTCAATGAGAGCATCCGCATCGGCATCCTGGACGGCGTTGTCACCTCCCCAGGCTGGGTGGTGGAGATTGAAATCCCCCACAATAATACTGGACCTCATATTTCGGCCGAAAACATCTTCGAGCGTCGTGACCGTCTCAATAGACCCCACTGGATTATATATATTGACCACTCGCAGGTCCTTCTCACCTTTCTCACCTGTCCGGATTCTCACCTCATGCACGTCTCTCCCATGCGCATGGTGCGTCCATTGGCCCATTCGCTTGGAGATTAACATACAGACGCGGGTTCTTTCACCGGAACATTCATTAGAGGACGGGTAGACAAGCTCGTGTGTCGCTTTCGCTGGGTGGTGTGTTGTGTCGGTGTACGGATTCTCCCACGGCTCCTGAATCGCGATGATATCAGCTTCGAGAACCCTGGGGTTCCGAAGGAAGTCTGCCATGACGACATCCTTCGAGCGGTGGACGTTGTACTGGATGATCTCGAGAGTTGTCTTATTCATTGGATTCGGTGTTGGTAGGTTCGGCATCGGCATTGCTGCCGGTGATGTTGCTTAGGCTGCTTAGGTCCGAGAAGCTGACGTCGACCTCGAAGCCTTGTCTGTTATGGGTGTCGCGGCTGACATTGAAGATTTGCCGGTTGCTTGATGTGGCTGATCTAGTAGGTCTCACTGCCTGTCTATTGCCTCTCGTGGCCGGGTTGGTAGAGTCAATTTCTAGGTGCTTTCTCTTCATTCGGTTCTCCTTGCCGGGGGCAGTCGGTTTGTTGGCCTTCCTCGCCACTGAGCCGTTGCTGTCTTTCTCTGCAAGGGCTGAAGATGATGATGGTGGCGGGTTCCACGATACTTCCGAGTCCCCCTCCGGTGCCGCCGTCTTCCGCCTTTTACCTATGATTGCTGATATCGATGGTGCCTGGGATGACGCCTGGGATGATGCCTGGGATGAAGCCGCGGCCCTGCTTCTCGTTCGCACCGGCTCCGATCGAGGTGCACGGGAGCTAGGAGCATGTTTCGACTGATAGAGACCAGTCTGCTTCGCTGGGTCAAATTCGATATCGACATCAATATCCATTGGGAAGCACTCGGCATCCTTGGATTGCTGGTTATCCGGGGTCCTCGTGATAGAGGCCTCGGATGGTTGGCCAGCGGTGCTTCTGGTTAGGATGCTTGTGGCATTGCCCCCGGTAGCCACGCTGGCCGGTTTGCTCACTGGTAAGCTAGCTGTCTTCTTAGCAGCCGGCTTGCTCTTGGCAGAGCTAGTTCGTTGACTCGAAGTAGGATTGCTTCGAGATGTTACAGTTTTCGCAGGTCCACGGCCGCTACCCATGGAGGATGCTTCCCTCGGTGTTGGATCCGAGCTCACTGGCTCTCGACTAACGCCAGAGCCTGAGCTAGACCCTGCCATCCTCGGGGCAGGGTCCGAGATAGACAGGTAGGCTGGAATCCGATGATAGCGCTCACGCCTCATTTCCAATTCCTTTACCCTATCTAACTCCGCTTCAAAGTCCTTACACCTCTTAGACCAGGCAGCGTGTGCGCCTCCGCAATTGGCGCACTTTCATTCAACAATGGCGTCCTTCTTGCCCGGGCATTCGGGAGAGAGGTGATTCCCGGCGCAGTAGACGCATTGTGGTTGCTCGGAGCAGGTCCTTCCTATGTGTCCATATTTCTGGCATCGGTGACATTGACGGATCCTAGCAGCCCGGTCGTATAGAACCGTGGTAAGGACGGCGGAGTCCCAAATGGTATTGCAATCAATGGCCTTATTTGCGACGTACGGCGAGCTGAATTCAACGATCATAGACCCCGACTTCTTACCCTCAGGCAGCACGAGCCAGGCAAGGTGAGTTATCTCGGCATTCTCCCCCACGAGTGAAGGTTCTGCGTCAATAGCTGCTTGCTAACTGCTTCCTGTCTCTCTTTCAATTCCGCCGGCCGGTTAATACCCAAAGACCTCACATTCACGTCGTGGATAACGACACCCCAGGACGGCAGCCGGACTTCAGCACCTTTCCACAGATACTGCACCCACTTGCCCCGGTGAATTCGAGCAGCCTCAGCATCCTTGGCCGATCTCAGCGTTAGACTGATATCTCCGGATTTCAACTGACGCGCTGCCACGAACTGGATGACGGCCAAAACAGGGTTCAGTCCTGCGGTCGCAGTCCCGCTGCGCGCACCCTCGCCTTCTCAGCTCTGTCCTTGATCTCCGAGCTCTTCATCGATCGGAAGTGAGCAATGCCATCGGCATCACCCAATTTGACAATGATCTCACGGTCCTTCCAGAGCTCGGAGGGGCTGGCCGCCTGAGTGCTGTCTGATCCGTGAGCGGAGAGGAAGTGGGCAGGTGCGGTTGTGCCACGTCTAACAGCTTCGACATATGAGAGTACTCTTCGGGGTCCTGATTCAGTGCTAGTCTTGCTCGCCGCAGTCGCGATTCGGACACCATGCATATCCTTGCGGATCTCCATGATCTCCTGCTTCATGTCCGCGAACTCCCGTCGCCAGTCGGCACCCATGGGATTCTTCATCAGGTCAACGGTGAGTTCGCGGACGGCCTTTAAATGCTCCAATACCGCTGAAGGGACTTTACCGCCCTTGCCGACGTGTTCTAAGAGCTGCTGGGTGTCATAATTGATTGCGAGGACGCGTTCGTTAATGTTTTGGCTGCCCGCAGAGTTTTCGCGCAGCCCCCCTGAAAGGGCGGGCCACTGGCTTCCTGGCGCAACCATTGTGTCTACCAATATGAAATTGGTATCAAATGATGCAGCAGGAAGTTACGAATAACCTGCAGTTATTTTGGGGGCCGTAGGAGGCCTGGTTGTGGAGCAATTTCAAAAATAAGATTCGCGCTAAGATATGTGTTTTTTCTGTTGAGGAGTCAAGTAGCGTGGGCGTCGCGTGTCTCGCCAGCGGCTTTGCCGGGTGACGGCTCGCATCAGTTCCACATCCGGGTCGAGGCCACAGATAACTCGGATCATGTCGGTGTCGAGTTGCAAGGGATGATAGTGGTTGAGAAAGGTGCGGGGGCTAGCATGCTTCATGATCAACATATGTTGCTCCTTGCTCACCCACCCTGCGGACTACATCAGCCACCAACATAACAGGGCAAATCAAATTCACAGTATCCAAAGAAGAACTCACCGCTTTCGTTGATAACTTTACCACTTCCATACCGGAACTGATGGGCGTGAAATGCACCTTTCCACCCGCGAATCTCGCCAAATGTGACCAGCAAGGTGGACATCGTAGATTTGGGCATCTGTATAGTCCGTTGAATGGTTGGAATGCCCTTGACCAACTCCGTTTTGCAAAAGATATACCATTCAGACTTTTTCGGATCTAAAGGGACCAGGAGCTGCTCACAGCCTTTGCTGATGAAAAGTTTCCGCAGCTGAGCCTTCGAAGTCAGCCCCTGATTCCGGAACGCCCGCGCGTGAAACAGGATGCCAAAAAGCAATGTGTGCGGGCATATCACCAAAGACGGCCCGTAAACGATCTCGGGAAGGGCGAAAGTAGTTCTGTTAATAGGTTAGCTGCATCACCCGAGTCAGACATTCGGGAGATAACAAGAAGGATCTCAAGAGATATTATATATCTGGAAGTGAATGAGGAATTGAGAAAGAGAGAGAGACAGAAATTGCGCTCGCCGTACAATTTGGTGAGACCGAGAAACTTTTTAGTCCCTTCGGGAGTAAGTTCGATCATAGGGACGGGTGGGCCTCCACGGGGATCCTTCTGGAGGGAGATCTGCAGGTCCTTGAACTGCAGACCCAGCAGGGCGTTTCTCCGGTGCACGGTAAAGAGACCGAGGGAGTTGAACAGACACACTTGGATACGTTGGAAACCCAGATGGAACGTTTTTTCCTGTGTCGATAAGATCGTTTCATTAAACGGGGCGATATCCTCGATATAAACCGGCGTCTTCTTCCCAGGCTGCGTGTCCAAGCCAAACTCCTGGACCAAGTACTTCATACCCTATAATCAATGGTAAGTCAAGGATATCAAGCTGGATTGGGATAGATTTGGAGGCATAATACCCTTCGTATCTCTGAGCCATCTTCATCATTGATCACAATCTTGGTGAGCTTTTGATAGTAACAGCGAAGGTTTTTCCAATCGGTCTCGAATGTGCTAGCTTTGTTGATGCCTTTTATATGTCGACCGTCCTCACCCCTCTCAAGCTGGAGACACCAGCGTAGGAAACGATACATATTATTGTTCGACGCCTGGCGCAGCGCCTCCTCGGCCTCGCGCCATTTTGGCTCATTGGGCCTGTTTCGCACTTGGCTAACACAGTACCTATACCTGCGTTAGGAATCTCCCCACCAACGGCTCCAGCAGCGATGTACCTCAGTGGGTCACTCACCTTTTCCACCGACTCTCAATCCGCTCTCGTCGTTCAATAGTACCCGGTGCTTTGTCGAAATCCTCGGGGATTTCAGAGAGATCAACCCCGCCCTCATCTAGTGGGTCTTCGTAGAGCTCTCCAACGTCGTCGCAGACCTCCGGCTCTAAGGCAAGGTTGTCGTCGGGTCGGAGACGTTTTCGTGGGCTGGAAACGTCTAGCAGCTCCGTCAGATCCTTCTCATATGTAGCATCGCCCCGTTCTGAATCGCTAGAAATAGCCGCAATAATGTCATCCTCGCCAGAGTCGCTTTCCGGCTTTCTAGTCCGCTGGCGTCGAGAACGCTTCATCGACGAAATCGGCGGAATTGAAGGGACGGCGATGGTGCGGAGGCTGAGAAATGAGACTACAAGACCGCGAAACAATGAAGTGGCTGGTAGGTCACGTGTAGACGGTCGGTGACTGATTCTTTTGTGACTGTGCACCCACAGGTGGGCGAGCAGAAATGACAGACCAAGGAAGCACGAAGAAGAGAAGAGAACAGGCGACGGGCAAAGAAGTAGTCTCAGTGGAGGGAGAGGGAAAGCTGGGGAACACGGAAAATGTACGGAAGAGA